CGTAGCCTTACTTTTGATAAAAACCCAGTCACTTTGTTTTAAAGGCTTCAAGAGTTACTCAAGGAGGCTTTCAAGGGATAAAGAGTTAAAGATGATCTTTTAAAGAACATGTGTTCTGTTTTCTTGTCATCTACAGAAACACTCCCAGAGTGAAGCCATACCCACCTCCGAATTGTACATTATTTGTGAATATGCTAGTGAATGGAAAGAGAAGAGAGACTTGCTGAAAGGAAGACATGGTGGGGGTCTGGAGAATGAGTGTTTGACCTTGTGTGAGTCAGAGTGGATGCATTTATAAGCCTGTGTGTGTGCTTGGATGTGACTGTGTACGTTTTTTATTCAGCTAGTATCCTCCAGACTTGTATTTTTCCTCCTCTAGACTCCTAGTAATCAATAGGCACAATATCGTATTTGTTAATCACTGTACTGCCTTAATAATCACTAGAAGAAATAATCAAGTATTTATGTTTGTAATTACACCTGATGTTATGCAACGTATTTTGTTATATTTTCTATCTGTGGTATTTATTTTTAGATAGAGATCATATCATTTTTGTTTTCTAAGCCGCCCCCTCAGTACAATCTACCTGCCCCCTTGTGGATTTTTAAGATGTATGCTATACTTATCCAAGGCATTTTTTTTTCTTTCATAGCAAGCTTTAACCCAGTTATTGCAATGTTTGATGAAATTCCTTTTCTGGTATCCTGCTGGAAAACAGACATATGCTAACCATATGCTTTACGGAAACATAAGCTGAAATGTTTTTCATTTTAAAGATTTTTTGGGGGGGCATTTTTGTCTTATTAGACAGCAGAGCAGAGATTGACAAGAAACACAAGGAGGCAGAAGGGGACTGGCATGCAACAAAGGCCTCTGGCCGACTCTGACTTTTACAGTTCGACCCAGCTGTAGTGTTTCTGAAACGATTCTGCCAAGATACCAGCATCTCCTCTCACCATTGAGATTTGATTGTACAGCTCATAAGCTATTTTGTTTTTTTTTTTGTTTGATTTTGATCTTTGAAGCAGTCAAGTTAAAAATATTAAAGAATAATAAAGAATGAAGTTTTGATTTCTGTAAAAGTACCAAATTTGATCAAATGTAACCCAGATCGATATCAAATATTGTGATTTTTAAAACAAATGAGAATAAAATTTGTATGCAGTTTAGGCCTTTGGTTTTGTTACTTCACCACTTGTGTTTCTCCAACTGACTTACTGTGAAATCTGCATCTGCAGCACAGTACGTGTCTCTTTTTTCAACTAGCAGAGCTGCAGTGCAGTTCTTTATGAGAGATGCGTTGCTCCATTTCCTTTAAATGGACGGTGAAGTCAGCAGTCAACTGTATTATACTCAAATGGCCTTCTGCTTTCACTCTTATTCCTTGTATGTAGCTGCATTGGAGACAGAAAGCATGTTAGTGTGTGTGAATTTGTACCTAACTGCATACTTGGACATGTTTGAGCCTTAATGTGTTTGTGTTATTTAGGTTGCCAAAGGAGGGCACCCCCAGGAGAGAGTTAAAGCCTGTGAAAGTTTAATGTTTGCTTACTGCACGTCACTTGTCGACCCTCTCGGTTACAGTTGTCTCTGGAAACTGGCAGCTCAGGCCTTTAAACCGAATCAAATCAACACATAACTGTGTCTGGAAAGTGTGCTTGGCTCGAGGTTAAGGATGATAAATCAGGGGTTGTTAATTCACTGTGTATTACATCAGTTCAACGGGAGATGCCAAAATACAGGTTCATGTGTGCTGCACTACATTTGACTCTGGTTTGGGGTTTTATAGCGTGTACTCTGCATCAAAGCGTTGCTGTGCTTGTCCATTCTCTCTGCGTTCGTACTTACAGAAATAATATAAAGCCATGTGGCTGCACTGTATAGAGATCTGGTACCGTCAGCAGCGTGAGGCCAAATTTGAAGTTATCAAACTCTGAGCAGTGACAGCCGATGTAGCTATTCATTCTGAATGGAAAACTTTGTTCTTGTTGTGACAACGAGGCAGCGGTGCAGGGGACCAGGCTGCAGCAAGCTACCCACAGCAGTCTCCGTGGCAACTGTACGCATGGCTGAAGAGTGATATTGCGTCTCCACGCTGTGATGAGCAGAAAGAGTCAAAAGAGAAAGGACGGAGAGGGGGATCTTGGTTTCATGGTTTGCGGGGGGAGCGAGCTAGCGTTACATGAGAGTGAATCGGAGTGATGACATTGTTTCTAAGTGCCAGCTGAGTGCACCTATACACCTACCCCCATGGAGGAAGGGCTAATAACCTGTCCAAGCATCCACTGATGAAGCATTTGGACAAAGGGGCAAACGGGCAGACAGATTAAACCCTATCCAGGGTAGATCCTCCTCTGTTGTTGACACTTTGACAAGCATTATAGGTCTCAGGTTTCCTGATTGCTTTGGAGGAAATTGGTGATTGATCCTAGATCAGGCAGGGTTCTGGGTTTCTAAAGTCACCTGGGGCTTTGGTGTTGCCGGATCAAGAGGAAGCACAGATATCTAAGAAAAAAGAAACAGACAATAGACCAAGAACAGCCTGAATGAAGGAATCACTTGCGCCTCTGAATCTGATGACTGAATTTCCTGAAGTCTGCCTCACTTTTAGCTGAAAAGGGACATTACCTGTGTAAAGTCCCCAGTTCAGCTATTTTTATTTATTTATTTTTAACTGATTTTACGAGCATATAATGCCCAGAGCAATCTGATACTTCTATAGAACCACTACCATTGCTGGACTCCTGAAGTAACTATCAATTCTGCAAAGAGTAAGATGGAGAAAAAATACCCAGTAATTGCTGGACGAGAAAAAGGTAAGTCATCTTGAATAACGATCATGGTTCTTTTTTTATGTAAATTAATATTTACAAATAAATATCAGTAGCTTAATATACTGCAGTTAAGCAGAGTGGGTCGTTTTGCAGTGGGCAGACCTGTCAGGACTTGCTCCACTCTGTGAAAAAAAAATGCTCCCACCTTGTTAGCTGTTTGACATAGTGTGCATAATTTTTCATTCAAGGCTGAAAACTGGAAGGCTAATCTCTAAAATTCACATGAATTTTCATTTGTATTGTCTAGTTATCTTAGGCAAAGTTATACAGACCTCCTTATTTGCAGAGAACCTTACATAAAGCTGCGATCACAATCAAAGGAGCCATTGTCACTTTAGAATTTCCCACATGTATGACTTTTGTAAACTGTGGATGTAATTTAAGACACGTGTATTTTGAGGTTATGGCAACTTTGTGACATCTTCTGCTGTTTCAAGGGCCTGGACCTGGTCGCTATGGGCTTCCTCCCACTATTGGATTTATTGGCCATGACTTCACAAAGTCAACTAGCCCTGCCTACACTTTCCATGGAAGGATGACTGATAATAGTGAGCCCCTCTCTTGCTTTATGGTTTATCAGAAGTGGGCTAGTTTTCAAGTTTAACTTAAAGCTAACTAAAGTATTACTTTTTTTTATTTATTCTATGACTAACTAAATAGCGCCTTTTTTTTGTCAAACTGCTGATTTAGGACACAAATTAGCTGAAAGCATTACAGTCACCAATACACACATTTCACAGAATTTGTGTACAGTAATTTATATCGTTTATGTCTTTGTTTTCACAATAATTTCCTCTCCTGTAAAAAT